AGAAAAAGAGAAAATCCTCACAGGTCTGTGCCCTTAGAAGTTTTTCTCTAATAAGAGAATCCTGTGCCTTTGCTTTGAACGCAGGCCCTGGGTGTTTGATAGGAGGACCTTTGGATAGGACCTGCTGAAATATCACGAACAGGGGGCACTTCTCTGGATACTTAAAGGAGATGGATGGTTATACTCAGGCAGGCTGGTGTCTAGCTTGGTTGGACAGCTATTGGTGATCAGTTGTTGTTGTTAAGTGCTGTCAAGTTGATTTTTGACTCATAGTGCCCTTGTACAGGGTTTCGGAGGAGTGGGTTTGAAGCACCAACCTTGAGGTTATAGGTGCCTTCTACTTGGTTCTAACTCATAGTGACCCAGTGCCTGGCTCTGTGTCATCCTCAGAATCCTTGCTTGTTACACTTGGCACCCATCGTTACAGCCACTGTGTCATTCCATCTCATGGATGGACTTCCTCTTTTTACTGACCCTCTTCCAAGCATGATGTCCCTCTCAGGGACTGGTCCTGATGATTTGTTCAAAGCATATGAGACAAAGTATTGTCATCTTCCTTTCTATGGAGCATTCTGGCTGTGCTTCTCCAAGACAGATATGTTCATTCTTCTGGCAGTCCATGGTATAGTCGATATTGCATCTATACCAAGACTGTAATCCAGAGTCAACTCTTCTTCAGTCTTCCTTGTTCATTGTCCATCTTTTGCATGCATATGAAATGATTGAAAATACCGTGGCACAGCATAGTCCTAAAGTGACATCTTTGGTAGCAGATTTGTCCAGTGCCATATGTTGTTTGATTTTTGACTGTAGATTTTGTGGGGGGTTGATTGTGGATCTAGTAAAATGACATGCTTGACAACTTCAGTCTTGTCTTGGTTTATCATAATGTTGCGTAATGTTTCAGTTGTGAGGATTTTTGTTTTCTTGATGTTGATGTGTAATCCGCACTAAAAGCTGCAGTCTTTGGTCTGTCTTCATCAAGTGCTTCAAGCCCTCTTTGCTTTCAGCAAGCAAGGTTGTGTCATCTACATATTACAGTTTGTTAGTGAACCTTCCTCCATTCCTGATAACCACAAATGATGCAGCTTCTCAGATTTTTTGCTCAGTATACAGATTGAAAGGAGACGATCCTGACACACACCTTCCCTGAGGTTAAACCCTGAAGTAGTCCCTGGCTTTGTTCAGATTGCCTGTAGTCTGTGCGCACAGGTTCTACAAGAACACAATTCAAGGATTTGGGATTCCCGCTTCCCCTCCTGTCAGTGTGAGCTGCATTGGAAGAGCTTGTATCTTTTATCTCTTGGTGTCACTCATCATGAGCCTGTGAGGGTCCCTTTTCAACATCAAATAATATTTAAATTGGAGCCCTGGTGGTGCTGTAGGATAAACACTGAACTGCTAACTACAAGGTCAGCAGTTCAAACCTACCAGCAGCTACGTGGGATGAGGCTTGTCTGCTCCTGTAACGATTTATAGTCTTGGAAATACTATGGGATTGCTGTAAATCTGAATTGATTCGATGGTAGTGGGTATTAGTTAAATAAACATGCAAATATATATAAATGTACTCTGATTAATGCTTCCAAGGTGAATTATGATAGGACAGTGAGAGCGTTAAGGGATATTGTTCTGGTGGGAGTTCAGGGATGGCTTTTTTCATGAAGTGATACTTGAACAGAGATGGATGAACCCCTCAGGTCTGGAACGGAACTTGTGGCCCACTTTTCCAGTCAAGCAGTCGATAGATACATAGGGGGGACAACGACAAGCAAGTAAGGTGTGCTCCCCATGGAATGATCAATAATTCAAAATCTAAAGGGTAACATTTACCTAAGGACATAGTTTGAGAAGTGTTGTAATCAAAGATTTGTTGACTTGTCTGTAAACTGATGATCTTGTCTGTAAACCTTCACTCAGTTCACAACAACACTAGTAAGTTATGCTCACTTACTTTGGAGTGGTTAACCATTCAAAATCAAAAAGGCATCATTTACCAGAGGACAAAGGTAGGGGATGGGAAGGGAAGGAGGAGAGTGTAATGGACTAAGAACCGCAGATTGATAGCAAGTGGAACAGCAGTTGTTACATGGAGTGGATTGTAACCATTGAGATGAAACAAGCTGTGTGATTTGTTGAGTATAAACCTTCACTCAATTCAGAATAAAAAGTTTCCCAAAAGATGGATGAGTATGCACCAGCTAGTGGGGAGAGCATGGTGGAGAGTACTCCAAATTCAGGGAAGCTTCTTGTAAAGGCCTAATGGACTGCTAGGCAGTTCTGGTGTGAGGCTGTAGGATAAGCATTCAGCCACAAGGCCCTTTTGAACTGCAAACTCACCAGCAGCTCTTCAGAAACTCTATGCAGAGTCACACCTGCCTAGATAGCACTTAACAACAACAATGGTAGGACCCTGGGGGTGGGAGCATGTTGTGAGATGAAGCCTGAAAGGTAGGTTGGCCATCAATCAGGCAGGTTTTATATGTGCAGGGCTGTGTGTTTTCAAAGTCATTGATCTTTTAAAATGAGGAAAGAGGTGGAGCTGCGCTTGGTATGGGGTACACACCACGTCCAGGTGAGCGTCCTGGTGAGCAAGAATGGTAATTTGGACTTTGGTTTCAATGTGGTGGAGGAGGAAGAAGAGATGGAAATGGGGAATGAGGCAGAATTCAGAGATATTGAGGCATGAAAATCAACCATGAGTAGATTGTAAGGAATGTTGCCGTAGACACTATGGAGGACCCTGAATTTCTAGTTGATGAACCACAAATTCTATTTGAGTTGCTTTCCTAGTGCTCTAGTAGCCAAAGGCTAGTTCTCAGTCTGGTCTTGTCGTTAATAAGAAAGAGCATGACAGCCAGGTGGGATAGCATCTCTGGATACAGTAGAAGTTTTCATTGAAGCGTAGTTATTTGTCTGTTTCCAGATTACCCCACCTTGTCTTTATCTTCTCTAAACAATATCATTATGTTTTCTTTATAGCAGCCATTTCAAAATAAATTTCTTTTGGGGATTGAAATTAATGCTAAACATAATATACCTTGAATAAAAAGAACTTTGAGATTTAATTAATGTACCATACAATTAACCAATGTCAGAATAGTTTCATCACCCCCCCAAAAATACCATACTTAACAGCACTCAGTCACTTTTTTCTTCAATACTTTCAGCCTTAAACATGCAGCAGTAAGTTTCCTTTTTGAGACTTTTCATGTATTTGTAGTTTCATACAGACATACCTTGGAGATATGGCAGGTTCGATTCCAGACCACTGAAATAAAGCAGATATCGCAGCAAAGAGCCATACAGATTGTTTTGTTTCCCAGGGAATAAAGACCAGGCAGTGTTTCCTGTCTTGGGTAGGGTACGGTGAGTCAGAACTGACTTGACAACCCTAACCGTGCACATAAAAGTTATATTTACACTACACTGTAGTCTTCAGTGTGCAGTTTTGTAGTTGTTAGAAGCCCTTGAGTTGACGTCACTCATAACGACCCCATGCACAACAGAACGCAGTTTGTGCAGTGGCATGTGGAAAAATTTAGATGTTGTGAAAATTCCCAAAATGTGACAGAAGTAAGCACAAGTTGTTGGAAACATGGCATCGATAGACTTGTTTAACACAGGGTTGCCACAGACCTTCAATTTATATAAACTTGAATGCTTGTAATCGGTTAGTTTTCATCTTCTTCCATTTAGCTAGCATGCTTACAAGGTAACTTCATGTTGTGGCATGTATCAGTACTTCCTTTTTTCTAATATGTCACTGAATGGATAGAACACATTTTGCTTATCCATTCACATATTGATGGAAATTTCAGACATTTCTACTTTTTGGATATTTCTGAATAATGCTTGTTGCAATGGTCATTTGTGGACAAATTTTATGTGGACATAAGTTTTAAATTCTCATGGATATGTACCTCGGAGTGGAATTTTCTAGGTATATAGTAACTGTTAAACTTCTTGAATAATTGCCAAACTATGAGGGTGAGTCAAATATTATCCGCACTCAGTTATGTTAAAATGCTCTTCACATCCATGGCTGATGACAATATTGAGAGAGCACGTGAAATGATTCTTTCCAATAGACCAGTGACAGTAGATTATATGGCAAATGATTTGTAAATCAGCCATGGCTCTGCCTATGAGATAATCTATGGCAGATTTGGGTTTCGAAGAGTGCTAGATGGGTACCGAAACAACTCATGCAAGAGCATAAACAGAAGCATTTGAACATCTGCAACAAAATTTGGACCAATACTTAAAGGAAGGGTAAAAGTTTCTTTAAAAAATCATTACTGGTGACGAGACGTACATTCATCACTACAAGTCTGAGAGTAAACGGCAGAGTATGGAATTGAATCATCCTGAATCATTGACCAAGAAAAAGCTCAGAATCAATCATCAGCTGGAAAACTGTTGCTTAGAGTTTTCTGGGATTCTGAAGGGCCAGTATAGGAGCACTATCAGGAAAAAGGTTCAGTAGTCAGCAGTGCTCCTTACAGTGAGACTATCAGTGAAGAGCTGAAGCCCAGACTTTGGATTAAATGCAGAGGACTGCTATCTAAGGGCGTTGTGATCTTGCATGGCAGTGCACAGCCGCACAACTCTGTCCACACTGTTAACACTCCGCGAAAACGTCATTTTAAGAGTTAAAGCATCCTCTCTAGAGTTCTGATCTTGCTCCATCAGACTTTCACCTGTGTACTCCCTTGAAAGCAGCCCTTCGAGGACGAAAATTAACCTTTGATGAAGAAATGAAGACAGCGGTGCATTCATGACTTGCAGTTCAGCCTAAAACATTTTTTAAAAAGGGAATATGAATAGTTGTTGACAGATGGACAAACTATATTGAAAAAGCAAGGAGATTATGTAGAAAAATGATGTATTGTCTTTTCTAAAAGTTGATTAGAATAAATGCGATAGCCAGAGTATGGATAATTTTTGACTCACCCTCGTATTTCCAAACAGCTGCAGTATTTATAGTTCCACTAACAATGGTTCCCGTTTCCCACATCCTGCTGACACTTTCTATTGTCCGTCTCTATGGCTATAACCTTATCAGTAATGTGAAGTGGTATCTCATTGTGGTTTTGACTTGCATTTCCCTGATAGCTAATGATGTTAAACTTGATACTGTAAATAAAAGAAACACTTGATTTCATGGATAATTTAAAAAAGAAAATGTGTGTGAATTTCATGTAATTGTTTGGAGGGAATTAGTTTTGATGTATTTAAAAAAATTTTTTCCCCTTCTTTCATCAGCTTTATTCCCTGAATGACTACAAGCCACCCATTTCTAAAGCGAAAATGACTCAGATTACTAAGGCAGCCATCAAAGCTATTAAGGTGAGTAAGAAGATTTTTATCAAAAGAAAATGCTCCACTAATACTTTGGAGAGGGGATAATTTTTCTGGATTTTTATTGTGTATTCTCTTCCTTTTTACAGAAAGCATGTTAATTTTAAAAACAAAACTGAAACACCTACCTAGCTCCTACCTTGAGAATAAACAATGAGCATTTTAGTAAAATTCTTCCAAGACCTTGAGGCATTCATTAATTATTTTCATATCATAAAGAATGTGTTTATCTGCTATTAATCACACTGTCTTTGAAAACACTTGAAGTACGAATTTATAAACTGTTTCTAAATAAAAATTAACAGTGATTTTTTTTTTTCTTGCTGACTTGATTATAGATTTAAAAATGGATCATTCAGCCTCACTGTACATAGGGCATTTGAACTGTGGGAAGTGGTCACAGACAATGAGTCAATTGCTCTTATACAGAAGTTTTGAACCAATGTTGACTCAGATATACTTTTGAAAATCTCAGGAAAAGGTTGGATTTTCTCTAGAGAAATACTTAGATTCACAAAATTTTCCATAAAATTTGATGGCTTTAAGAACCCTTCAGAGCTCAAGTTTATATACCTCCCCAACAGAATTTTGTCCCTGAAGCTAACAATTCCTACTTTAGTAGTTGTTGTTAATTGCCATTGAGTTGGTTCCACAAAATTGAGAATGAACGAGTACTTATTTCTAATGAAATATTTATCTATGGATATTTGACAGCATGTTTTCCTGTTCTCAGAACATCCATTACTAGACACAGCAATAATTTAATAGTCTTTGAATAACAACTGTATATAAGCTTATTTAAACCAGAGATTTATTTCAAAGATGTGATTTTTCTACAGTATCTGATAGGTTCCGTGTAGAACAATTTCTGTTGTACCACTTGTCTATCCATTTTACCTATCATGGTGGCTTGTGTGTTGCTGTGATTCTGGAAGCTATGCTGTGGGTATTTTAAATACCATCAGGATATTTCATGGTGGACAGGTTTTAGATGAGCTTCCAGATGAAGACAGACTAGGAAGGAGAGATAGACTGCTTCCGAAAATTTAGTCACTGAAAACCTTGTGACTAGCAGTGAAGCATGGTCAGATAGCACCAGAATACTGTCAAACGTCGTAAGGCTGGAAATTGAACTGCTCAAGTAGGAAGGCACTCAAACTGTGCATGTGTGGGGAAGAGCTGCCTCTTCAAAGTAGAGCTGACTGTGATGACACGAATGTTATAAAGCTTTTGGAATCGTCCTTTGCTGATGGAGCACAACTCAAAATGAGGAGAAACCGCTGTAAACATCCATTAATAATCAGAACATGGAGTGTACGAAGTATGAATCTAGGAAAATTGGAAGTTGACAAAAATGAAATGTAATGCATGAACATCAATATTCTAGGCATTAGTGAGCTGAAATGGTCACCTTGAATCTGACAACCACATGTTTTACTATACTGGGAATGAGAAATTGAAGAGCTGAAGCTAAAGAAAATTTTAAAAAGTCCATGAGACTCAAAATATGATCTTGAGCATAATCTCATCTGAATTTAGAGGTCAGCTCAAGAGAGACTAGATGCATTAGACACGAATGACTGGAATTCCAGAAAAGTTGTGTGATGACATCAAAAGCAGCGTTGAGAAGACAAGAGAGAAGGAAAAGACCAAAATGGATGTCAGTAGAGTATCTGAAACTTGGTCTTCAGCATAGAGATGATAAAGCAAATGTAAGAAATGAGATGGCAAAAGAGCTGAATAAAAAAATTCAAAGGGCAACCTGAGAAGACGTCAAATATAATGAAATGTGTAAAAATCTAGAGTTAGGAAACCAAGCTGAGGGAACTGAAGAAAAACTGCATGTGTCAATTTGCAATACTGAAGGATTCTGTGGGTAAAACACAGAATGATATGGAAAGCATCAAAAGAAGGTGGAAGGAATACAGAGAGTCATTGTACCAAAACGAAATGGTCGATGTTCAACTAATTCAAGAGCCAGCGATACTGAAGGAAGAAGTCCAATGTGCATTGAAAGCATTGGCAAAGAATAAGACAGTGGGAATATATGGAATACATATTGAAATATTGCAGCAAACTGATGCGGCGAAGAAAATACTCAATTATCTATGCTAAAAAATTTGGAAGACAGCTACCTGGCCAACTGATTGGAAAAGAACCATATTTGTGCCTATTTCAACGAGAGGTAAGGGAATACAGAAATCATCTAACAAAACCATTAATATCACATGCAAGTAAAATTTTGCTAGAGATAACTTAAAAATTGCAACAGTACATTGGCATGCAAACTTCTGGGGTTCAAGCTGAGTTCATACAAGGCATGAGGGGTATCATTGCTGACGTCAGATGCATCTTGGCTGAAAGCAGAAAATACCAGAAATATGTTTACCTGTATTGATTTACTACACAAAGGCATTTGATTGTGTGTATCATGACAAGCAATGGACAACATTATGGAGAATGAGTATTCAGGAACACTTGGTTGTGCTCGTGAGGAAACCGTAACATCGACCAAGAGGCAGTTAGTTATTCGAACAGAACAAGGGAACACTGAATGGTTTAAAATTGGGAAAGGTATGCACCAGTCTTTCATTATACTTGTTCAATCTGTATGCTGAACAAATAATCCCAGAAGATGGATTATATGAAGAAAAACGTGGGATCAGAGTTGAAGACTCATTAACAACCTGCGATAGGCTGATGATAGATACAACCTTAATTGCTGAAAGTGATGAGGACTTAAAATACTTACTGATGAAGATCAAAGACCACAGCCATATGTACAGCTTGCACCTCAATGTAGAGAAAAGAAAAATCCTTCCCACTGGACCAATAAATAACATCAAGATAAATGTGAAAATATTGAAGTTGTCAAAGACTTCATGTTACTAGGATCACACATGGAAACAGCAGACAAGATACCAATTGATGTATTACACTGGGCAAATCTGCTGCACAAGACCTATTTAAAGTGCTGAAGAACAAAGGTGTCAGTTTGAGGACTGAAGTACACCTGACCCAAGCCATGGTATTTTCAGTAGCCTCATAGGCATGTGAAAGCTGGCCAGTAAATATGGAAGATCATCGAAGAATTGATGCATGGTTTTTGAGGAGAAAAAGTACCATGGACTGCCAGAAGAGCAAACATCAGTGTTTTCCATAATGCTCCCTAAAAGCTAGGATGGCCAGACTTCATCTCTCATACTTAGGACATTTTATCAGGAGTGACCAGCCCCTGGAGAAGGACAGCATGCTTTGTAAAGTGGAGGGTAAGCAAAAAAGAGGAAGACCAACCACATGGATTGGCACAGAGGCAGCAGCAATGATTGTGAGGTTGGTACAGGACCAGGCTGTGTTTCATTCTGTTTTACCTAAGGTACTGACTCAAAGTTGCCTAACAACAACAACAACAACAACAACAGTTGTACTTTGTCTATACTCTTCTGCATTGTGGTCAGGTTGTTACTTTCATCTTGAGCATTTGTAAGCATACATGTTACTGTATGTTTTGTGAAGATGTATGAAAAATTCATGTATTTTACATAACTTTGCTGTTGAACAAAATACTTTTTTAATGAAAAGACTACATGTGGTACATTAAGTATTGTCGAGTCAGTTCCAACTTATAGCAATAATGTTTAGGTTTTATGAGGATTGACTGGTTGGTTTGAACCACTGACCTTGTGGTATATGTTGTTAATAAGTGCCGTCAAGTCGATACTGACCCATAGCGACCCTGTGTCGGGTTTCAGAGGAGCCTCTGGTGAGCTTGAACCACTAACCTTGCAGTTCAAACGGCTTTGAAGTCTGATGCTTTAACCCACAGCACCATAAGGTGCTAATATTTCCATATTTCAGATGTGGAAGTGTATAAGCGTATATTTCAATAGAGTAAATAGGGCTAGGATTCGAACTCTTGGTGCCTCTAGTTATTATGCTGTATGTGGGATAATTTTGTTTTATTGTTAGAATTTTTTAGTCTAGTTTTTTAGAGTGAAAAACATTCAAGCTTTTGGTGAAGTTGCAAAAATATTAAGCACCACATAGTCTCCCTTTGGGGTCCTGTGTTAATGTGCTGCACTGCAATGTTGGTTTGAATAGAAAGGTTGGTGGTTCAAGCGCACCAGCCGCTCCTCAGAAACCCTCTACAGGGTCGCTATAGGTTGGAACCAACTTGACAACACTTTAACAACACCAACAACAATTCTTCCCTTGGATTTACCAGTTTTTAACATTCTGGTAACAGTTAACAAGATACCATATATGTTTTTATTTCTTCACTCTCTTTTACACACACACACACACACACACACACACACATACACACACGTTTCCTTTTTTCCTTTGCGACAGGGTTGTATTCTTTCACCGTACTTATTCAACCTATATGGAGACCAAATAATCTGAGAAGCTCGGTTATATGAAGAAAAAAACGTGGCATCAGAATTGGAGGAAGACTCATTAACAACCTGCGATATGTAGATGATACAAGTATGCTTACTGAAAGTAAAGAGGACTTAAAACATTTACTGATGAACACAGCCTTCGGTATGGATTCCATCTCAGTGTTAAGAAAACAAAAATCCTCACCACTGGACCAATAAACAATATTCTTATCAATGGAGAAAAGATTGAAGTTGTCAAGGACTTCATTCTTCTTGGATCAACTATAAACTATCATGGAAGCAGCAGTCAAGAAATCAAAGGACGTATTGCGTTAGGCAAATCTGCTGCACAAGACCTATTTAACGTGTTCAAGAGCAAAGATGCCAATTTGAAAACTAAGGTGTGCCTGACCCAAGCCATGGTATTTTCAATAACCTCATATGTTATGTGAAAGCTGGGCAGTAAATAAGGAAGATGGTAGAAGAATTGGTGCATTTGAGTTATGGTGTTGGAAGAGAATATTGAAAGTGCCATGAGCTGCCAAAAGAACCAACAGATCCATGTTGGAAGAAGTGCAGACAGAGTGCTCCTTGGAGGCTAGGATGGTCAAACTTCGTCTCATACTTCGGCCATATTGTCAGGAGGGACCAGTCACTGGAGAAGGATATCATGTTTGGTTGTTTGGTAAGGTGGAGGGTCAGAGAAAAAGAGGAAGACCCCCAACAACATGTATTGGCCAAGTAGCAGCATTGATGGACTCAAGCATGGCAACAATAGTGAGTTTGGCCCAGGATTGGGCAGTGTTCTGTTCTGCTGTGCATAAGGTCGCTATGAGTCAGTACGGACTCGATGGCACCTAACAACAACAACAACGACAAAATGACAACTATGTTTCATAGTAATATGCTAATGAGTTTTATCAGTGATTGGAAAAATTATCATTTCAGTGGGTTGTTTTTTTTTAAAACTTTTATTATGAATTATGTGATAGTTTACATGGGAGAATATTAGTTTTCATCCTATTGTATATTGTTACATTGCCATGGTTACAATCCTCTCCATGCATCACAAGCCAAAGCATATACCCTTCAACCCTGCCCTCTGGTTGTCTTGGATGCTAAAAACCATTCACTTAGAGAGCACACAGCCCCTGTCTCAGTGGGTGGATTTTAGCATTGTACCTTGTCCCCAAAGCCTCGTGGATAACCTGTGGGAGAAGTCCTACATGAATTAGTGAATTTGGGATTACAATAGAGTAAGTGAGTTTATTCTAGAATCAATAAGCGCTGTCAAATTGTTTTCTAGAAATTATTCACTTCATTGTGTATTTTTTTCATTGTTTAATGCATTGATTTTAACTGCTGGAGATGTCTATAAAGTATCTAATGATGACTTGTATTGCTTTTAATTTTTTTTACTTTTGTTAGCTTAAAATTGTTGAGTAAGTCATTGCCACTGTAAGGTAAATTTTTACCAAGAGCAAATTTATTGTAGATTTTTATTACATTGAAATAGGAGTAATAAGATTTTCCTTATTTTTAATTTCATAAATAATGGATTTCATGTTGCAGTTCACTTGAATGTTTTTGTATGTTTTCAGTCTGGGGATTTTGTAAAGTTATAATGCATGAGATTAAATGAATAAATAGAAGAGTAATCAAATTAGTATTTAAACACATTTTCTCATTAAACTATTTTCATTTAAAGTGTTCACATTTGTGAAACATATAGTCTAGTTTTTTTATGTGTTGTTAAATACATAATTTCTGTTCATAGTGTTATGTGTTATGGATCTTAAATCTTACGTGTTTTCCTTTATTTGATGTAGGTGGAAATAATGGAATAGCTCAAATGTTTTGCGCAGTTGTTGTTGTTGTTAAGTGCTGTTCAATTGATTCTGACTCATAGCGACCCTTCATAGAATTTTGGAGGAGCAGCTGATAAATTTGAGCCCCTGATCTTGTATTTCACACAGACTTTGCGTTCCACTGCTTATCCTACAGTGCCACACCAGGAATCCCATGTCTCTTTCTACACACCTTTTTTTCCCCCATAAGTGGTGGTTAGCCACCTTGGAGTTGGTTCCGATTCATTGCCACCCTGCATTACGTTTCCGAGGCTGTAAATCTTGACGAGAGCAGAAAGCCTCATCTTTCTCCTGAAGAGTTAGCTGGTAGTTTCTAATTGCTGACCTTGAAATTAAAGTGCAGGATTAATTAAATGAAGGTGACAGCCTACTTGCATACATTAATTCATGCTATTTGATTTCTTGATTACAGCACTTAACAATAACAGTCCTTCATTAATGGATACAGGAAATTTGTACATTTCCTGCTGTTAATGAAACTAGGAATATACATCTTAATACCACAGTTACTTTGTGATCAATACCACTATTTGCCAAAGTATGCTTTAATAAAGACTTTGATAGAGTTCTTTTGTGTCTATGTTAAAGTAATACACTTTGGACATACTGACCATATAGTTACATCAAAGCACCCTTTACCAATCAGCACAGCTAGGTGCTTATGATGGTGAATGACTGAATGTATTAGAATTCTTAATTAAAATGTACTGTTTTGATAGATCTATAATAGAAATATGGTTGGAGGAAAATTCTCATCTAAGTGGACAGATTTTAAAATCATACTTTTATTTTTTTTCCTTTTTAGTTTTATAAACATGTGGTACAGAGTGTTGAAAAATTCATTCAGAAAGTAAGTACATAATTTTCCATAAATATTCTAAATATATTATAAATGTTAATGCTTTGTGCAGGTCTCCTTTAAATCAAATGCTTGAGTTTAAATTAATAGAGTATTTGAAAAATGATTCCATTTACCTTATTTTCTAATTGAAAAATAAAATAAGGGTGCATTTTGGATAATTATGAAAATAGTGGCTCTCAGTTCGATGTTTTTGACAAATTTGCATTGTTATAATGAACAATCTTGTCATGTAAAAATAGTGTCAAATTACTGATTTTTAATAAATGACTTTTTAATGAAATTATAATTTATTGCTTTTAGCTTTTAATATTTTAACTTGCCATTTTAAACTGTTTGCCTAGCTAATACCTCTCCTTTTATTATATATTGTTGTTGTTGTTATGTGCCATGGAGTCGGTTCCGACTCATAGCGCCCCTTGTACAGGGTTTCCAAGGCTGTACATCTTTATGGGAGCAGAAAGCCTCATCTTTCTCCCGCGGAGCGGCTGGTAGTTTCGAACTGCTGTCCCGGAGGTTCACAGCCTGATTCGTAACCACTACGCTACCAGAGCTCATTTTATTATATATAGGTAGCATAAAAATACTGTGTACAAGCCACTTCTGTTCATGTTTTCCATTTCTACATCTTTGTTTACAGACCTGCAGTTCTAACTCTCAGGTCAAGCAGGCGGAGATGAAGCAGAAACTGTCTTGAGTACATTTATTAGTGCTATTTGTAAACTATATCCAAGATGACTGTTGTTATTGTGTAGTGCTGTCAAATTGGTTCCGATTCATAGTGACCCTGTGTAGGGTTTCTGAGGAGCAGCTGGAAGTTTGATTCACTGGCCTTGAGGTTAGCTGTCCAGTGTTTGTCCTTTAGCGCCACCAGCACACATAAAGATTGTTGGAGTACCGTGGAGTTTTTTCTGACTTGCTGTGACCCTGTATATGATTTCTGATGAGTGGCTGGTGGGTTTGAACCGCTGACCTTGAGGTTAGCATTCCATTGCTTATCCAGCATCACCACACTAGTGACTAAAATTGTAGCTATTGGCCATCTTGTTTGTGATCCTTAGCCGATTGGTGCCATAGTTTGGGCAGAAGTCCGTAAGACTTACCTTCTTTTATTGTAATTAATTTAGGTTTGTACTTTGTTTATGTTGATGCTACTTGATGTAAGCACACTTTAAGACTTCAGCACAGCTGTAGCATTGTTGTTGAATAAATATAATTGGGAAATGGATGTAAGAATTAAAGTGAGATTACTATGTCACTTCCAGGTAGGTAATCTTGAATAAGTCAACTTTTTGTGTGTTTCCTCTTTTTTTTGTCTCTGTTCTTAAAAGTCTTGTGTTCTCAGTACTTGTTGTTAAGTGCTGTTGAGTCAGTTCCATCTCATTGACCCTGTATAGCGTTTCCGAGGAGTAGCTGGTGAGCTTGAACCACCAACTTTGTGGATCAGACTGACCTTGTGGTCCAGTGTATTACCCTACAGCGCCACACCAGGATTTCTCTCGGTACTTCCAGCTTGATACAACTGGTTTTGAGCTAATTATTTTACAGAATTTGTGGCTAACACGTAGAAATAAAGTAACAAGTATGTGTTAGTTAAATCAATATGTGAAATAAAAATGGAAAATTTCATTGTTCTTAAGAACGATAAGGCTTTCTATTCCCAAAAAAGATTTAAAAAGCCTTGGAAACGTCACACAGAGTTGACTTTAGTCTGAACTGACTGTAAGGTGCTTAGCAACAACAAAGCATTCAGATTTTTTTTTTCAATGGAGCATAAGCACGTTACAACAAGGTTGGTTTGACCTACAGGTTGGAGGTTCAAACTTGCCAGCCACTCCTTGGAATCCCCTTACAGGGTCGCTCTCTGAGTTGGAACCAACTTGAAAGCACTAGATAGTAATAACGTCTAAAGTAGTAGCTCTGGTGGCATCACAGTTACACACTGGACTACTAACCATGAGATCCACCAGTTACTGCATAGGAAAAAGATGAGGGTTTTGCTCCTGTGAAGATTTACAGCTTTGGACACCCTGCTTAGAGTTGCTATGAGTTGAAATTGACTTGGTGGCAGTGGGTTTTGGTTTTTAATGTCTAAAGTATAAGTAGCCCTGTAGGATAAGCGTTGGAATGATTACTGCAAGGTTAGTGGTTCAAACCCACCAGCCACTCCTTGGGAGAAAGATCAGGTTTTTGGCTCTCTTAAGGATTTACAGACTCAGAAACCTAAAACAATGGGCCACTATGAGCTGCCATTTGTTGTGATGGCACTAGGTTTTTTAATGTCTAAAATGAAGGGGCTTTGGTGATGAAACAGTTTACAGTGTTGGTGACTGCAAACTGAAAAATCAGAGAGAGGATTGAAGCTGTTACTCTGAGGGAGAAAAGACTTGTTAGTGTGCCCCTGGGAGGTGGCAGCCTTGGAAACTCTGCAGCAGTTCCCTGATCTATGGGGTAGCTCTGAGTCAGAACCCACTGGACACAAGAAGGGCAGTGATGATGCCTAAAGCTGCTTTATTGTGTGCAGGGATTTCCTAGAGAGCTTAGTTTAGAGTAGCCCTGCCCCTAGGGTTTTCTAGACTGTTGACAGTCTAGATATCTGGTGGATATCTGTTCAACCTAGAGATTGGGCACTGAATTGTGGGATTAGTTTAATGGGTAAATGGTGTGTATATGCGTATTTTCAATTTCACTTTCCACAATTTTATTCTATTTTGATGTATTTGTAGATTCACATGTAGTTGAATCTATGGTGGTGGTAATTATGTGCCGTTGAGTCGGTTCTGACTCATAGTGACCCTGCACAGGGTTCCTGAGTCTGTAAATCTTTACAGGAGTAGAAAGCCTCGTCTTTCTCCCGTGGAACAGCTGGTAGTTTAGAACTGCTGTCCCTGAGGTTCGCAGCCCCATTCGTAAGCACTACACTACCAGAGCTCCTCCTTAGTTGAATCTATAATAATCTAAAATTATTTTTCAGAACAGCAATCCCATTTTACATTGACCATCAGCATATGACTGATCAGTTTCCCGCCAGTCTGTAGTTTAACATTTCATTTTCAACACAGTGCTTTTTTGCAGAATGAAGTTTATTTTTAATTTTTAATGTTCACATTAGTGTATTTTTATAATACATTAAAAAATTTTTTTTTGGCTTGCCATTCTTTTGGCAACTTAGTATGGGGGGGATAAGCGATAAAATTAGACCAAAGTGGAGCAGTGGTGCCTTGCCTCCCACCCACCCCCACCTCCAGCCCACTGCAACACAAGGCCCCATTCCACCTGTGTGTTTTCTGCCCAGTAGCCTTTGAGAAAGTCCATGGACATGTCATCTCAAAGGAACCCTGGTGTGGCCCTGTGGCTTAATGCACCAGACTGCAAAGCCGTTTAAACCACAAGATTGGTTGTTCAGGCTCACCAGCACTCCTTGGAAACCCTATACAGGGTTGCTATGGGTGGGAATCGATTCGACGTCACTTAACAACAACATCATCTCACAGGAACGCAGTCTGTAAAGTTACTGACTTAGAATTTTGTTTGGAGTAAGAAATACTATTTATACAAAGTCATGAGAAATTTCTTTCATCTTGTGTATTCCAGTGAAACCTATGAGAGCTAGAACTCGACGGGAATGCCTGATTTTTCTGGCTCTGGCAAGTTTTCCACCTTTGACAGGATGCAGTCTTATCATTTTTCTGTTGCTCCTTTCAGTGGGAAATAGTTTTTCCCTTCATGGAAGGTTTCCACCTTACCCATGCCCTGGCTTTTGCAGGTTTACTGTATATAGGTTTTCAATCTTATGCATGAAATACACACATTTTAGTCACACTCATGCTTAGAATAACGTACAGTACTGAACAACTATGATGATAGCACAGTCAACCATTCTGTTGTTTGTGAGTTCTCATTCTCCGTCTAAAAAATATGTGGCGTTAGTTAGTTACCTTCTTTTTTTTAAATTTGGAAATCGTGTTTCCTTTTTCTTAGTACTACAAACAAATGTGTGCTGTAAAACCAGATTGTTTTTTTTAGCTGCTGTCAAGTTAGTTGTGACTCATAGTGAACCATTGTCCAACAAGAGTGAATCACAGCCTGGCCCTGTACCATCCTCAAAAGCTGTGTGTGTTTGAGCTCTTTGTTACAGCCTCTGTGAATCCATGTCATTGGGAGTCTTCCTCCTTTTCAATGACCCTCTCCTTTACCAAGCATGATGCTCTTTTTCTGGGACTGGTCCCTCCTGATAACATGCTTGAAGTATGAGAGACGAAGTCTTGCTACTCTTGCTTCTAAAGAGCATTCTGGCTGTACTTTGTCCAACACAGATTTGTTGGTTCTTCTGACACCCCACAGTTCTGCAATATTCTTCTCCTACACCATAATTTATATGTATTAATTCTCCTGTGGTTTTGCTCATTTGTTGTCTAGCTTTCGCATGTATCTGAGACTGTTGAGAACAACTTAGCTTGTGTCAGGTGCACATTAGAACCAGCATAGGATCAGCTATTGTCTCTTGGAACCATGTGCTATTGTAGACAGACATGTTGTAGGTACTGTGGTTACTCTTAGATTTCTGAAGGCCAACAAAACATTTCTCTCTGGGCTCTGACAGTGGTCTGCAGGTGAGTTACTGTATTAGTTTATGAGCATCTGGCTATGATTCAAAATTTCAAATGAGAGAAAGTCTAAAACATTATCAAGTAACATATATTTTCCCAGTGCATGGCATATGAAAAACTGTTAACAATCTGGGGGTAACTATGATGAACACTTCAGTTTTCCAGAACCTTGATCTGTACTTTTATGTACAGTGTGGGTGGTTGGTATTTTACGATTTTTTTTTTTTTGTAAAACCTCCTTTTTAAGGTTGGTGCATTTACACTTGTGGCTTTTGACAGTTTCATAGAGGGAGAGTAGACTCTATATTGAAAGATACGTGTGCACATACATACTCACAAATGCTTTCGTACAGCTTTCAGTATCCTTTAACCGTGTGTTTT